CTGTAGCTGTAGCTGTAGCTGTAGCTGTAGCTGTAGCTGTAGCTGTTGCTGTTGCTGTTGCTGTTGTTGTTGCTGTTGCTGTTGCTGTTGCTGTTGCTGTTGCTGTTGCTGTTGCTGTTGCTGCTGCTGCTATGTTGTTGTAACAGTCGTAGTCGTAGTCGTAGTCGTAGTATGTCGTGGTAGTAGTAGTAGTAGTAGTAGTAGTAGTAGTAGTGGTAGTAGTAGTAGTAGTAGTAGTAGTAGTAGTTGTTGTTGTTGTTGTAGCAGCAAGCGTAGTCGTAGTCGTAAGATCACTTTTGGCAGTCGTCGTCGTCGTCGTTGTAAACCTAACTAGTTTTTCAATAAATAGTTCGTGCATGGTCGATGCTGGCGGCTTCCGCTGATTCTGATAGTGCTACTCTCTTTACCATTGGACCCACTGCCACTATAGCTGTATACATGCATGCTTGCACGAAGGCACATGTCTGCTAATATACACGTAGCAGTTACATAATTGCTGCTGCCTCTCTAGCGACGCCCTGAGAACGGAAAGGCTAGGCTCCGTCTTGCACTTCGGCCAGGGCATGCCATCTGCAGCTGTTGATTGCGCGGCGCCAGCCATGGTAAGACACGCAACCAGAACTGCAAAGAACTGGGCGCCACAGAGATTATCTGGTTATTCAATCGTACTTGCAAGGGTGTATGAGGGGTTGAAGTCAAAATCAGGTTATAGGCATGGCTGAAACAGAAGTCCTTCCCATCGATATATCTTGTTTCGGGAGCTTGGCAATGAGAAAGTCTTGCGTTGAGCTTAGCAGCTTGGTCGGGGGCATGCGATCGAAAGCGACGCTTAGGAACTGCGGGCTATCTACAGGCACCGGCGAAGGGAAAGGGGGCGACTTTTGTCGGAGCTGGGGCCCTTCTTGAGCCTGAAACTTCATGAGATCAAGGCAATACCTGCAGCTCGCAACGCTGCGAATCCGGAAGCCATACCCCACAATTTCAACAGTGCCATCTGCATGAACCCGGCACTCCTTCTGCACCTGACCCGAGCAGCAGGACCTGGGCCTGGAAAACCAGCCCTCACCCTTGCAAGAACCAGCTCGCCCTGATGCCAGGTACCTTCTTCTTGGGTCCTTAGGGGGTCTCGGGCCTGGCTATAAGGTCCTTGGAAGCATACCTATAGTCTCCATTGTAGTTCCTCTTTGGGGATACCTTATAAAATCCTTAATCTATAATTGGTAAAACCAAAAAAAGGAACTACAATGGAGACTGTAGGTAGGGTTAGCAACCTGCCGGAACTCTGCAAGGACAGGCGTGATTCAGTTGCGCCAAGCCCCGCAGTCTGCTTCCGAGCTACACCAGCATACCCATAGGCCCCATAGTAGTTCCTTTTCAGGGTTCATATTTTAGAATCCTATAAGGTAACCCCAAAAAGGAACTACTATGGGGCCTATGGGTAGTCACTTCGAAACACGAATCTCAAGAATAGTCACGACTGGCGTCTCTCAGGTTCTGTTGCTGCTCCCATTGCTCCAGTCACAAGGTCCGACATGAATCCGGCAGTCGCTTAGCGAAGCGGACTCTGGCTGGAACAACATTTCACAGGCGTTGATTTGGAGGTCAAGGAGGATCAGCTCCTGAATTGAGCACACTACACCCTGCTGCGACTAGTTATCCTAATTGATTAGGCAAAGACCTTGCAATTATGCAGTGGGTGAACAAACAGGATTCCGACCTTACATAATGCCCTGGCTCTTGCTGCAGTGCTTGACTGGGGTGTGCCCCGGCGTGCAAGTCTGAATCTGAGGATAAGTTGGACAAGCGCCGGGAAGCATCCTGGAGGATCCAGCCGTTGCTTGCAGGAGTAACATTAAGGCATTAGGGTCACACGGGAAGCCACTCTAAGGATCTATGTAGATCAGGGCATGGGCATGGAGTATTCCAGACATCCCAGCATGAAGAGGATCATAGACCCCACACGGAACTCAAGCTTCGATGAGGGTAGTTGTCAAAATTATGGTCCCTTTTGGGGTACCCTAAATAATAGGTGCCGTACTATAATAAGGACCCAAAAAGGGACCATAATTTTGACAACCACCCATGAGACGACGTGCAGCTGTGGAGTGCTTTGGCCACTGGCATGCTTTGGCCATCCTACACAATCGTCTCGAGACTTGTGTGTAGCCTGCTGCCGTCTTCGGCAAAGCTTCGTGGCTAACAGATGTCGTGCAGCCCATCGCACTGAGATGCCGTGCTAGTGAAGAGTCCACGAGGCTTTCCGAGGCAAGGCAAACATGCCTATACATACACCCCCTACCGGGAACTCCGCAAGAACTGCATGTCAGAGGATGCGAAGACAGTGGAAGATCAATAACATGCGTTTCTCGGTCGGGCCATGTCCATTGAGCCTAGCTCCTCTGCCTCGTTTACGAGTGCTGGCCTACATGCTGCATGCTGAATCTCTAGTGACTGTAGCGCTTAGGAGTCGCAGTCTGAGGCCCACTAGCACCCAATCGCATGGACTGGTAACTGAAAGGGCCCTAGGTTTCATGGCCCCAACCTTTGCTGGAAGGCTACCGGAACAGGCCGTTTGTCTATCTACTATATGCGAGCTCTACACAAGCTTCGGAGCTGCAGATCCTAATTGTTGCGCCAGCTGCAGCATCTGTGGAGTGACATCAACAGCACCCACGTTTGCACAACAAATCTCATGACATAGAAGCATAATCCACAGTTCTTCAGTCGTGCGCTTCTCAACGATGCAGTTCCAAGTGCCCTCCACACAGACGCATGTTGAGAATGTACTGCTAGCAGTGCCTATATTACCGACCGTTTCTTCCACATCCTCTGCCGACGGCAGTTGCAGAGCTATCAAACCATTGAGGCTGCTCCAGCGATCGTTGCAGGCAGGGGCTGGGAAGATGCATTCAAGCGAGCTGAAGCAAGAGAGCCGGAGCAGGAAACAAGAATGATCAGAGGCTGTATGGTACCGAGAGGGCCATCCATGACCGATGGCTCTTACCCTACTGAGGTGCCTCATTGGATTCCTTGTGCTTCCCCAGCACCCGGTCCAGCACCTCACATCTTCGCGCAGCTTGCAAAGCAAAGACTACTGTCAGACGAATTGCGTAGCCCAGCACGTCTACACACAACTAACAATTAAAGAAGTCCCCGGTAGACAAAGTATGATAACATGGCAAAGGTCACAAGACACGTTTCGAAGCCAGAAAGGCATGTGCCGCGTCAGAAAAACAATGGCGGTGTCGGAACAGAACTTCGCATCCACAGCCCAAGTCCGCCTCTTCGTTGTGCTCCTCCACCCGAAGCTGCGCCACTGTCTTATCGCCGAAGAACCCCTCCATGGCTCGTTTCAATGCCATCATCGCCTCGGCAGCAGGCATACCCGCAAAATCACAGCAATTCATCCCAAGTCATGGTTTGTTAATTACAACGGACGGAAATGTTAGAGAAGGCTCGATGTGAGAGAAAACTGAATCCAAACAGGTATTCAAGACTCGAAGCGATAATCTGCAGAATGGACCCGCTCGAAACACTGATGGAAATGCATGGCGTGCGGTCCACCACGAACTGACGTCCGCAGACGCCCTGCTTGTCCTTCTGATGTAGGCATGCCAACTCGACTTCGCAGCGACGGACTGCAGCGAAGACTCATAGAAAACGGCACTGACGAGCTGTGCGGGAGCATGTTCTTTTGTGGTATGCCCCATGGCTAAGAATAGCCCGGGTGCTTATCGAGCCCCCCTATAGACACTCTGCAGACAACGGTGCTTTCTCACTGAGGATGAAGGCGATGAGCTTGTATTTGAAAGAGAGGTCCTCAAAGTTGAACACGAAGAAAACCTTGGAACAGGAATCTCGGCAGCAACAGGACGTGCTTGGCAGTACGGACTACTTCCACAGCCCGCGGCAACTGTTAACATTTCCCGTACGCTTGAACACGCGAATCGTGGGTCCGCGGTGATATTCGAGCCGGGGTGCGATGTAGCAAGTGACTGTGACCCCGATGTAGGCAATGAAGGTCAAGATGTTGCTCCAGGAGCCGATCCCCTCCTCCACCCTGGGAATCACCTTGGGTTTAGGTGTTACAGGGTCGAGGCTGTTTAGGGTCTAAAGAGGAGGCAAACGACAGCAAAAAAAGCACAGGAGCAGAGAACTCCCATCTGATCCGCAGGTCGTAAGGGCTGGCAGTGACAGCTCTCTCTCGCCCTGCCTCCCTCCGGCAGTCTACGCTTCCTGCATTTCTTCCTGTCTTCCTTCCTTGATTCCCGCAGGTTTCTACTTTCGCAGCAGTCACAATCGCCGCCTCTCGGCATGTGCGGACGATCCGTCATCGGCACGCTAGACAAACGCCATCCAGTGCAGTCCCATGCCGTGTTCTAGGCGCTGTGAACTTCACAGATGGGGCTTTCCTGTTCCATGGTAGCCCTCTACTGAGTCACTACTGGGCTGGGCGGGTTCCCAGCTCGGCTTGAACTGTGGAGGGAAAGGTTTTCTGAAGGCCGGCGACTCTTTTAAGTGTTGCAACTACACACGCAAACAAAAACTGTTTCGGCTCGGTGCAGGCGAGGCTTGTGGTCTTAAGTCGGCTTTGGTGAAACTAGCAAAAAACTGTTGCTAGGCAGAGAACTAGCTAGGTGCTCGTCTTGCCTGAATGATGAGTGACCGTCCCAAGGTGTCCTTCAAATGTGTCGCTAGTCCTGGAATGTCTTGAATCTTCAACACGCTTGTTTCAACTGGGCCGGATCAATCAAAGAACAAAGGGAGCGGAGCACGTAAGTCTGAGCTCCGTGCAGCATACATAGTAAAGCACGTGCGTAAATAAGCGTGCCTGCATCTGTGCACGAACTTCTTCCCCGCACACACACACACACATATATTATATAATATATCTATGTATGTGGGTATGTATGTACGTATGTATAGGTATGTATGGATGTATATATATATATATATCTGTGTGTCTCTCTGTGCGTAGAAGTTGGCTAGTCAGTCAGTCAGTCAGTCAGTCAGTTAGCTTGCTCTTTTTTTTTCCTGTGTGTGTGTGGAGTCCGTGAGAGCCTGGGCAGCGCCAAGAGCGGGCACGGGGCATGTAAAGCAACACAGGTCTCTCCTCGGGACAGGGCAAGCCAGTTTCCCATGCTGTCCGAGAACACGTGCAAGGCCCGACATAGACGTACAGAACAATAACATGCAGCCGAGCCAACTCTAAATCCGAAACGGCAAAGCCTTTATATCCTCCAACCTGCAAACCCTGAAACGCATACCCACATACCCTAAAGCGTAACAGTTGCAAGGCTATTGCTCATAAGGCGCTCTTCGATGTGCATAGCAGATCTTGTAGGCCATGAGCTTCTTGATCACGAAGTTGGATAGGAAGCAGAGGATGCAAATGACAGGACACGTCACACCGAACCTGTGCTGCGAAGCTGTGTCGTCAGTACTCTTCATAATCTGAGAAGGCTACACTTGCTGGACACTACAAACGTGGACCCTTTGAGTTCCTGAAGCTTTGACAACATGATGTTGCAACGTCTTTAATTCGGAGACCCTTCATAATGCATCCTTCCGCTGCTTATTCTGGATTTGGCAGTTATGGCGGCCGTCGTATATCATTCGCGAAATCATCGCCGGAGATATTGCTTCTGCTCTTTCATTGGGCTAATGGTCAATCTTAACTGAGTGGAGGAGTATAATCCCTAAACCCTAAACCCTAAACCCTAAACCGTATAAGAGGCCGAGGAAAACTCACTCTGGAAGGCCTCAAGCTTGGTCGGTTGTGTGGGGGAGAGCAGGATGAAGGAAGAAGTCTTCGGAATGCAATGTAGGGGCCTTAATAATCCAGTATACTTTAATTCAAAAAAAGGAACCCCCCAAAATACTATTGGTAATGAACTAGGCCCCTACATTGCCGATGTTAGTCGTGACAGCTCCCTTGAAATTATCGGGGTTTGGTTTCGAGGCCTTGGGGCCTCCACCCTCAAACTGCAAAGCAGAATCTTGCACAGCTCTGCGTACGCTGAAACTCTACAGTACATGCAGGCTTCTCAGGACTGCTTGTGGTGTTGGACCTGTTACAGTAACTACTAAAGACGCCCTAGCGCTCCCTCATGGGTTCTTCGCTGTGAGAAACCTTCGGGCACTTGTTTGCATGCATCTAGATGTACAGACTGCTGCAAAAGACGTGACTGCGGCAGCAGTGTGCAACACAACTCCGATCGTATCGGCATGGGCTTTCCCAGGCCGGCGGCATTGAAATGAAGCCAAAGTTGAGGGCCAGTTGCATGTAGTCCTCAATTTGGTCCTGTCACAGACAACAACACACCGTCACTTGGCAGCAGGCGTAGGAAGCTATCTCAAAGCACCCGCTGAATCTGCGACAAGGATCCGCTTCACCATATTCTGGCATCATTGCCTGCGAGACAGTCGCGCTTTCCGCTTAGGTTTCCACGTGCAGCAAGCACCAATGCATTACATCCGAAGTCGATCTGCAGTTTGATTTCGACAAGGGCAATTGGGCAGCATCTTCGCGTAAAGGGCTACTAAAAGCACTTGTTGCAAGAACAGTGGTCCTTCTTCTGCCTCCTCATCCGAAGGGGCTATTATTGCTATCTAAACCCTAAACCCTAAACCCTAAACCCTAAACCGCTATGCTTATGGGAAAACTCCGGGCACCGATGCCTCAGAGACTATGGGCTGAAGGGGTTGGGACTTCAGGTTTACCTATAGTCTCCGTTGTAGTTCCTTTTCTTGGTTTAACCAATTATATTTTATGGATTTTTTCAGGTATCCCCCAAAAAAGGAACTACAATGGAGACTATAGGTAGAGGTTTGATGGTGATCTCAATACCGAAACTCGGACTCCTCGCCTATTGCAACTCGATTCCCTCACGCCTGTGGCGGCTCCCGCCTTCTAACTACGGACACCGTGCTTTGCTAACTTCTGCAGTACGGCATCGTGCAGGATAGTCTTCGGTGCTCGCTCAAGCAGAAGGCACTCCTGCAGCTCCAAGTAGGTCAGGTTTCTGTTCTGTCCTTGGATGCAATGGTATCCTCGTGATCACAATGCGCAAGCATTGAGTGAAGGAGCTTTCGGGCGATGGTGGGATTGGCATGGCGAAATGCCCAACAGCGAGACCACAACCATCATACACTATTGACATCAACCCGCGGTAGGGACAAAGCATTACCAATCGCAAAAAAGAATGCCCCTTCACCGTGCAGCCCTTGCAATCCCGTCGAGTCCCTCTCGACTGCACCGAGAGGCCATAAGGGAGTTTCCGAAAATAGGGGACCATATAGTACCCTAAATAATAGGATCCTTATTATAAGGACCCCAAAATAAGGTACCCCTAATTTTCGGAAACCCCCATAAGGCAACAGGTACACACCCAGAACCCAGGAATCAAGGCAAAAGCTGCAGCTTGAGGTCGACGGTTCTGTAACTCGGACCGGACTGTCCGGTACGTCATCACCACCGAGATGACAACTTCAAAGGCTTTGAATGCTGCCTGGGACAAGATGCATGCAGTGAGAAGCTTGGGACCTGCCTGTCCCAAGCATTCCATGCTGCTGGTTTTCAGCGCATTATCCCAATTCCAGAAACATATGGCCCATGTTCACCTGCCCATGCTGCTGCACAGAGGCAGGATACTCGTGTCTCTGCTGCAAAGTACGGTGTGTCGGCGGACAGCCCTAACCTCCTCCCCCGGCGATGCACGCCATCGCAACAGCCCGAACCCGTCCTTTTCACGAGAGGCTCGAATGCTGAGCTCGACACCTTGAACCCTGCAGCTTGAGACCATAGCTGACCAGCCTTTAATACGAAAGGTCGAATGGCTATGCCTGCAGTTGACTCCTGCGCAGCAACTGCTTGCCCCAGTTACCACTGCGGTACGGCCTGCCAAGTAGATCCCCCCAGCAGCCAGCCCAGGATTCAAGGCCATCTAGTCTTAACGAAAGTTCTCAGGTTTGAGGCAAACCTGCTCCCAACCTAAGAAAGCCGACACAGCACCTGCGTCAGGAAGAGCACTTGCAGATCCTGGCGGAGCTTCACGAGGCAGCCTGCAGTGTTTCGGCTTATCTCTGAGAGCAGACTCGCAACTCGGACTTGGTCAAATGAGGTCTTGCGCTCTAGTCTGTCCAGCAACGGATCGCATAGGCTGAGAAACGGAGTCTTGCGTGGACTTTTGGGCTTGGGGCGACACTGAATTGCCGTCATCGAATGACAGGAAGGGTAGCCAGTGTAGCCAGTCTGTCATCGAACTGATGCTTCATTGCGGTTGTGGGGTTTAGGGTCTATCAAGGGCTTGGGGTTTCGGATGGCCTCTGAGCCAAGCCATTCCCGGATCACAAATCTCCGAGGAGACAGATTTGGAGCCTCGAGGCCCTAAACTCCTCTCTCTGGCCTCGGAAGTTTCCGGGATCTTCGGTATCACAGCCCTCCACGTACGGCTGGATGAGTATGGTGTAGGCGAAGGGGTAGTAGTACACCATGAACCTCGGGCGCTGGAGGCAAGGCTTTGAGGACTCTGACAGAACGATGCTGCGCGTTGCCGGAATCCGGAAACACTACTGTACGTCGTCGCAGTAAGGCATCCCCCCCCGGTGAAAGCAGCCAGGACTAGCCAGGACCCCGACACGACACCATTTTCTACAAGTTCATTCCAAACTACAGCACTAACGTGTCGATGAATTAAGTTCAGATCAAGGATCCTGGTTTCACTCCAGAAGATCTCAAGCTTGAGGCCCTTGAGGCTCTTGGATCATTCTTGGGTCACCTCCGTTGTGTTTGAGTGTACCAGACGCCGACATTAGATGCAGCTATCTTGACAAGGCTAAGGGGTATCCTTGCGGCACGTCGTCGGTTCTGGCTTACCCAAGATTAATCGGATCTTCGTCGCAACCCTGTCCTCCCGGCAATTTCATTCAGCTTCTTTGGCCGCCTTCGTTAAACCACCCATGGCCAAACTTGCACAAGAGCTTTGCTCTTTGCCACTCGAAGCCGACAAGCCCCCCGGCAAAATCTCATGATGGAGATGATTGAGAAGAAAGTAATCTTCACCCAGAAACTTCACAGCATAAAGCTTCACAACCATGGCAGACTTCATCTCGACATCCGTCCGGAAGTTCTCCTTCCTACCTCAAAGAGTCGGCAAGGCGACAATTGCGATGTTTTCTTAGCCCATAGGGTTTTGGCGGTTTTTGCTGGGCCAGGGTGCAGGCAGGTGCAGGCTTCAGGCTCGAACATTATGTTGAGTGTAGGCAGCACGGTTTGGCTTTGACCTTCCTGCCAGATGCTTGCGACACAAGATGATGATTCGCCCCATGTAGTGTAACTTTGATCGGTGTTGGGAGGATGTTCGTGATCTATACAACTAGACGAGAAGAGGCTCCCTCTCGGAAACATTGGGAATCTGACTTCAACAGCCCCTCTCCTACAAAAGCCTGAAGTCATGGTGTGCAGTTGTTTTTATGCGAGTGCATGTGTTGAGTCTGCGTACTGTCTTCCGCCAACAAGCCAAGCACCTTCTGGGGCCCGCTCCACGGAAAATATCAGCGCGAAGCCCGAGAGGCTGTCTCTGAATGCTAAACCCTTCACTACAGCAAGGCCATCTGAAGCCGTGGTACAAGTACCACATGTTGATTTTGACAAGATGCTAAGCCAAGTGGACAGCGGAGTCCATACCATGTCCACTACCTTGATGTTTGCCGTGATAACCTTCGCATCAAAACTGTCATGCTGTCGACGACAGGCCTATTGCACAGCACGTGAAGCAGAAACCGGCAGATGTAGCATCGGAGCGAGCAAGCATCGAATGCGGAGTGGGGGACGACCAAGCACTGTGCTCCCTTCTAAACTACCCCTTCTGTTTTCTTTGTTGTGGTAACTTGGTCCAAGAAACATATTTGTACAGATCAAGCAATGTCTCGTTGTCGATTCCGAAGGTAGTCCCATCGGAGTCTTCGCGCACTTCCTTCCGCAACTCGGTGAGGTAGTACACGACGGAGATCGTCTCCAAGATGAACAGGGCGCAGAGGAACCAGTGAAAGAGGTTCTGCAGAGTTTCCAGAGCGGTCCTGGAATCAGGAAATGCAGAAGAGCTTCAAATCTCATCCTTCGGATGCCATATCATGCAGCAGCTAGAGTGCTAGAGTGATCTTTTGCTGTGAACTATCGGATGTCATGAAATCCACGACAAGTAGGACGGTCTGCCCTTTGGATCCAGCCACGACATGTGTGAGGACTAGAACTGATGTAGCAGTCTTTTCAGGAGCATCCTAAAATATCAGAGTGAATTAAAAGGATGGCACGCAGCTTTGCAAGTCTTCGGAGACCGCAGCAATTTCAGACAGTCCCTCGGTACTCGTCGCTGAAGGCCTTTCTGACCTCGCTGCATCGGTAGCAAAGTTGCTTCAGGCCAGGTGAAGCTTGTTCGAGAAACCTGGTGATACTGCCCGGTAATTTTCCAGCCGTGTTCAAAAGAGGATGCATCGAACCGAGCTTCGGCACTGGTGCATTGTTCAACTCGTCGCTTCTACTTGTATCCAAGAAGCACAACAAATCATGTCTTTCAGCATTGGGTTCAAACCTTCCACTGCCGAGCAACGGGTACAACCTCGTCGTGTACATGTCTCATTCCCCACCGGAAGATCTTGAGGTTCAGCAGCTGCTCATAGCGAGCCTTACGGCACGGAGGTTCATCTTCTGCTCGGACCCTCGTGATTCGTCGCTTCTGTGGTTCCATGTGGCACCTCGTAGCTTCTGCTCGCACGACAAGACTGCGTGATGTCCACATCATATGAGCTGACTACAAGGTGTCTTCAGAGGTGTGGCGGTGGGTCTACGACGAGGAGGAACCCGTGGATGATGCTCCAGGGCGCAAGGCCAAAGCTTAAACCAAGCAGATCCTGGTGACTCTTAGCCCCGAGCCAGTGGGAGTTTCAGAAAATTGGGGGGTACCTAATTTTGGGGTCCTTATAATCTAACTCGGTGTGCAGATGTTCGACAGCCTCAACACAGCATGAATAGGTACTGTAGGTCGAAAGATCGGTGTTTGCCGTCGGGTCGCAAGGAAGCAAGTCGTCCAAATACACAGAATGCCGCCGAAGATGGAATCCATGAGCGTGATCTGTCAGGTTGAACAGGGAGCTGCAGGAAAAAGGGTCCCGGCATGCACCGCAGCACGAAACGTTTCAGGTTGATAAAGCACATCGAGGCGTGAGGTTTCTAGCCTTTGACTCAGAAAAACCTTGCATCTCTGGAGGATGGGATCTTCAGCAAAAAGGCCCGGCTCGGGTCTTACCGAGCGGATTCGGTCCCTTGGGCCTGTGGACGATCAAGCCTCCCAGTCTGTCTCATCACGTAGACGACGATGCTCAGAAGAGCCGGGATTAGAACCCACCTTTCACAGGGATGTGTTCTACCCTGGCTCACAAGATCCCCCGAGGTGTCACATATACTTTGCCGACATGTCTTCTTGCCTGGTGAATGTGTTGAAGAGGTGGAAGAAGTAGGCGACCTATTCGAGGTTGGAGAGACCCCCTTGCAGCCCCAAATTCAAACTCGTTGCACAGGGCCTTTGGTGGAGGCGGGGTGGGCAAGTTTAGTCTTTCTTCCAAACCTGGGCAGGTAGACTCTGTAGTCTAGAGATCTTACCACGACCTGGAGTCAAAGCACCAGCTGTGTAAGGATTGAGACTTGGACATACGAGACACGACTGCATTGCCAACTTTCGCAACCGCTGCATGCATGAAGTGTGCTGCGCGAAGATCCCGAACGCCTGGACCCCTGTGTACTGGAAGATGTAGTCAGTGATGCCTTCTCTAGGCCATCGGAACCTTGGAAATGGCTCAAATTCAAAGCAGCGTTGTCTGGACGGGCCTGGAGTCACTTGCAAGCTGAACCGCTGGCTAGCCCTTCCACTGTCCATCCGCGACGGGGCACATCGTGGCAGGGTTGTTCCAGCCTCGTTGGTAAAGCACATCAAGATCCTGACGTTGTCGCGTCTACTCATGCAAGACCCTAAGCCTGATGCGCTCAAACCTAAAAAAGTCTAAATCCTAAACTTCCTAAAACAGACCCTTAAAATAACCTCAAGCCATCAATCGGAGCCGAGCCCTCAAAGGAAACTCTGTCATGAGTCCATAGAACTCCCAAGTGTCAGGCAACGGAATGCCGGAATTTTAGGGGGCTGGAATAGCAGGTCGTGTTAAGAACCAGATCGCTTTGGGGGTGTCGGTCCGGCCACCTGCCTTCCAGTTGTGCACCGCAAAGAACTTGCTCATCACTTCGGCCTTAACGACTTGGAGGACTGCATGTCCAGGCCCCCATGTGTGTGTGTGTGGGTGGGTGGGTGCGTGCAAATACGTTTGCAAGGAAAGTTTTTTTGCGGGTTGAAAGAAGCTACAGCAACCACAACACCAAAACCACCAACACCAACAACCCCACCGGCATCAACGCCAACGCCACCGCCACCGCCACCACCACCGGTCACCAGCGCCACCAGCGCCACCAGCACCACCACCAGCCCCATCACCACCACCACCACCACCCCCACCACCACCACCAGCCCCACCACCACCACCACCACCACCAGCCCCACCACCACCACCACCGCCGCCACCACCACCACCACCACCACCACCACCACCACCACCACCACCAGCCCCACCACTCCCACCACCACCACCACCCAAACCACCACCACCACCACCCAAACCACCACCACCACCACC